CATACAAAAATTTTATTTCCTTCCTTGTCAGATACATTTTTCAAACCCTTGTGAAGTTTACAGACAAGACACTGTCATGACATTGAGATAGCACACAAAAATAAATGAATCTAATTACATGTATTAAAAACATTCAAGAATTAAGAGAAAAAATAAGATTTTATATATATATATATATATATATATATATATATATATATATATATATATATATATATATATATATATATATATATATATATATATATATATATATATATATATATATATATATATATATATATATATATATATATATATATATATATATGAAAGAGATGATACAGTAATAATTTGAAGAAAAAATAACCCTTAAAATAATTAAGAGAAAGTTTCATTGGAAGGTAAATTAAATTTGCACATCAACCCTCTAGACTTGAGAGATATATAAGTCAATATAAGAGTTGAGTTAGAATCAATCTAAATTTTAAGATGATATTAGAGTCTAATGATACGGATTACCTATCATTTATATCTATGCATCAAACATATTAGTGAGAGGCATAATGGAAAACCTTCAATTAAAAGATAATTTATTATAATGGTTTTATTGAAACAAGGAAATGTAAGGATTAGTGGTGGCAACTTGATGATGGATCTAATTCTTTTAATATCACCACTAGAAAAACAGTTATTAATATCAACTGTCTGAAGACTGCTAAAGGTGAAAAAACGGAAACTAATATAAGTTTAGTGTTGGATTAGTGTTGGTGTCGGATCTTTGATAAAACCTACAAAGTTATTGGGTAGCGTCGGCTATAGAGAAGCCGAAACTAGTTAGCTTCGGCTATAGAGAAGCCGAAGCTAGTTAACTTCGGCTTAACCGAGGCTAAGAGGTCTAACGCTACTTTTTTCAAAAACATGAAAAGCCAACAATTATACTTAGCATTGCTCAAGCCGACTCTAAAGTTAACAAATAAAAGTCAATAATTTCTCGCAGCGTCGATTGACCGACGCTAAATCTTACTTCAACTCGGTCAAAAACTGACTCTCCACGACACTGCTACCAACTCAACCAGCCACTCCCAAACCCAACAATCTACTTCAAAAAGTGAAGACTACAGTCCTAAAATGGAAACTTATAAGCAATTGTTATGGCTCTGATAAAAGACACTACATAGGCACCATGCACTTCAAAGTTATGTAAGTTTCAGATCAGTTACCACAACACTGCAAAACAGCAATCTGCGGAGAATTAAATTTTAGAAACGAAATGAGTAATTATAACACAAAAATCAAAAAATGAAAAAACATGAGAGATCGATTGAGTCTTATCGATATGCTTCGTCTACTTTTTCCTGAGCATCCATGTAGCTTGGTACAAACACAACCTAAAACAAGGTTTAAACAAGTCTTGAACCGTTGGATGATATAAAAATATAGGAATGTGTCACCATGAAGCATATTTTCCTCTAACCCATAACATAATTCAAAATTTGATTCAGATATAGAAAGTAGGGGTGCCAAAATTGATGGATTGGATGGATATGAATTGGGTTGTTAATGGATGGATTAAAACAATCCATTAGTCCATTAACAATCCACTAAAATTTTCTTAAAATTATCCAATCCAATCCATCTATTAAGAATAAAATCCATCTAATCCATCCATTAACATATTTTTAATGGATAGATATCCATTCATCCAACTTTTTTTTATTACGTAAAAATAAATATATTTTTTTATTTTTAAAAAATCGATTTTTTTTAATTTTCAAAAATTTCATTTTTTGTATTTTAAAAAGAATTATTTTTTTAATATATTCATAAAAAATGAATTTTTTGTATTTTCAAGAAAAAAATTGATATTTTAATTTTTGAAAAATATCGATTTTTTTTCAAAAAAAAATCGGTTTTTTTTTCGAGAAAAAATTTTATTTTATTTTATTTAAAAAAATCGTTTTTTTTTCGAAAAACAAATCTGTTTTTTATTTTGAAAAAAAAAATCGAATTTTTTCGAAAAAAAAATAATTTTTTTTTGAAAAAATCACAGTTTTTTAATTATTTTTTAAAAAATTTATTTTTAATTATTTTAAAAAAATAAAAATAATTCATTAGATTCTTAAAATATGTTGGATGAATTAAATTTATCCATGCATATAAATGGATGGATTTAATCCAGTCTATTAACTTATTTTTTATGTGATAGATGGATTAGATGGATTTTTTAATGGATAGATTAGATAAATTTTTCTTTAATGGATCTAATTGTCACCTCTAATAGAATGTTCATATAGCATAATGTTTACCATCAATTCAGTTCAGATATAGTAGAATATAACATTTCAATTAGCACATAATAGACTGTATAGTAGCATATTTACCATATCAAAATGTATAGTAGCATATTTACATAACAAAACTGTATAATAGCATATTTACCATATCATAATTTATACTAGTTAGCTCACATCAATTCAGTTCAGACATAGTAGCACATAACATTTCAATTCTTTAGTAAATAGCACATAACATTTTAATTAGCACTATTTAATACATAGTAGCATATATATTTACCATATCAGAATGTATACTAGTCAGCTCACACAGTAAATAACATTGTTTACCACCAATTAAGTTCACATATCATTGTTTAGTAAATAATCCATAACAGAATGTATACCATATCAGCTCAACTCAACATTTCACTACAGTTCAGTTCATAGCATTTCACTACAATATGTTACTTTAAAAGCATAACATAAATAATTATAGTTTATGAATGAAGCACTTTGTATATGAAGTTTTTAACTTTCTAAAAACGAAGACACTGCTGCAATCTAAAAAAGTCGTGCATAATTAAATTACCTTCAAGTAACAATTGATTTCAGGAACTTTTATAATTTCCGCTATTGATAATTTGATGAACAGGAAAACCCCCAATCCCTAACCCTAACCCTAATTTCATAATTCATCCCCTAATCCATCCCCTGTTCCTTGTTTTTATTCAGATTTGTAGCTGTTTTTTTCGATCCTTCGAAGGTTAGGAGGTTATCTTCGGCTTAAATTCCTAGCTTTCGAGTTTAGGGGCCTTGTTAACCACCTGATTTTCTTGGATTGAACTGCGGTCCTATCATGGTCTGGGAGAAGCTCGCTAAGAATGCTAGGAAAGGATTTCATGGTGGTTTCTCTGTTTGGAAGGAGAATGGAGGTAAGAGAGATATTAATGGTGATAATACGACTTCCTTCTTTGTTACCGCATTTCCAGAAAAGTTGAATGCTAGAGATCTGTTTGAGGTCTTCAAGGTCTATGGAGTAATCTCAGAAGTTTTCATCTCCGCTAAGAGGGATAAGCGAGGAAACAGATTCGGTTTCGCAAAATTTCGTAAGGTACATGACCCTCGTATTCTGGCATGTAACCTTGATAGCATTGTTCTGGAAGGCAAGAAGATCTTTGTGAATATCCCCAGGTTTAGTAAGGAGAACAAGAGGATTAATTCTGGTAGCGAAGTCTTATGGAGGAAAACTCAACATGCTCAAAATGGGATTCTTAAGAAACCTGTCAATATGCTTAGGTCCTTTGCCATAGTGGTAAAGGGAGATTATCCTAATGCAGAGGTTGCTGCAAAGAGAGTTGTTCAACCCACTATTCTAGAGGTGGAAGATGAGTGGCTAAGGAGACTGAATATTATGATAGTGGGAACTGTTCAGGAAGATGGAAATGCTTTCCATATTCAGAAGCTTTTGTACGAAGAAGGTTTCTTTAGTATTAAGGCTACCCCTCTGGGAGTTTCATTGTGTCTGTTAGAAGATACCTCTGGAGGTGACTTGGAGATTTTCATCAAAGAAGCTAGTGATTGGCTGGACATCTGGTTCAAGGACATTCGAACATGGAATTTGGAGGATATAGACAGAGACAGATTAATGTGGATTAGGTGCTTTGGTCTACCCTTTGTTGCCTGGAATGAGAATAATTTCAGACTGTTATCCTCTAAACTGGGTTCTTATGTCAAATGCGACAAGAAGACGTGGAACAAAGAGAGCTTAGATATAGCTAGAATTCTGATTAAAACAAGTCTTAGGGCTATTCTGAACTTTAAGGTTGATATTGTCGTTAGTAATCATTCCTTCTCCGTCTCTATTTCCGAAGAATTCTCGTCTGGATTAGGAGATCCCCTATCTGGTGAAGTTGATGAGTTGATAGACTCGGATGAAATAGAATCCACAAATCCATCTGAACTCAATGCTGATTGGGAGTTTCACGAGGAGGAAGATAGCGTAGATAACATTCCCTTTGTTCCCCAGACAGAAGCCAGAACTCCTCACCCTGAAGCTATAAAGATTGATGTTAACCTGTCTGCTTCAGATTGTGTTTCTGCTGTTAAGGAAAGCACAGACCTTGTTGTAGAAAGTGCAGGGATTAGAGAGGCTTCCTTCGTGAATCCTGCAGGTCTGATTATTTCTAGAGGAACTCTACCCGTTCCTGTTGAGGCTGATTCGGTTTCTTGTAACTCAAAAGTAGCAGAGGTAGATTGTAATGGGGATTTGGAGGCATATTTGTGCTTGCATCCTCCTTTTTGTGGGCTGCCTGGTGGAGGTTCTGGGCCTGCTTCTAAAGGGAAAGTTAAAAAGAAAAAATTACTCCATGAGGTTTATAACAGCATTAAGATTCCTTACACCCACTCGTATTTCTCAACTCTGCTTCACTCTGCTCCTACGGATATATCTCGACCTGAACCGAAGTTTAAGGATAAGAAGGAAAGAAAGAAGGGCAAGCTGGCCAGAGATTGTCCAGGATCCAGTTTATTATGCTGTGAATCGATTACGGACACTGACGTGGAAAGAGGCAACTCGAGATGCAGGAAAGCTATTGAAGAAATACCATCTACTCTGGGAAATTTCATTAACGCTTAGGGTTTTCAATGCGAAGACGAAGAGAACTTTGGGCTTATATTAAGGAAGCTGGACATGGAAGACCAAGAGGCTGTCCTTAATAAGAAGGTTGTAGCTAGAGGTGATCCATGAATATTGTTACCTTCAACGCAAGAGGATGTTGTAGTTCCGTGAAGAGAAGGAGAATATCCCAAGTTCTCCTGAGAGGCAAAGCTGATATTAGCATGATTCAGGAAACTAAGTGTAATAAGATGGAAGCTGGTTTTGTTAACAGCATGTGGAGTACTGTTGATAAGAACTGGTCTGCTCAGAACTCAGTAGGCAATTCAGGTGGCATCCTTTCTATGTGGAACACTACCAGAATCTCAGCTTTCTCAAGCTTCAGTGGGAAAGGTTTTCTTGGCCTGCATTTAGTTTGGAATAATCACAATCTGGTCGTTATTAACGTATACGCTCCGTGTAATCCAGCAGATAAGAGGAGGCTATGGAGAGACTTGATCAATATTAAAAGCAATTTCCATGATGCAGGCTGGATTTTGGGGGTGATTTCAACTCGGTGAAAAACGGGGAGGAGAGACAAGGTCCCAGCGGTAATAACAATAGGGATATGAAGGAGTTTGATGACTTCATTGAAGAGTTTAACGTTTCAGACTTGCCGGTTTTTGGTAGCCGACTTACCTGGTAAGAGCAGAAGTAGACTTGACAGAATCTTGGTGGATGATCGGGTTATATCTCTGCTTTCGTTGAAGAACCAAGTGGTGGGGGATCGTGACATATCGGATCATCGTCCGGTGTGGTTGAAGTCCAACTTTGTTAATTGGGGGCCTAAACCTTTTAGGTGTTTCAACTGCTGGTTTGATCATAAGGAATTCATCCCTTTCGTGTCGAAATCGTGGAACTCCTATCATGTTTCAGGGTTGTTCTGCAACATCCTTTCCAAGAAATTTAAAGCCCTGAAATCAGATCTTAGAACCTAGAACCTTAATGTTTTTGGTTGGCTGGAGTTAGAAATTGAGGAAAATATTGTCGAGTTCAATAAGCTGGAGTTATCTTCCGTCGACGGTTCAGCTTTGTGTGATGATGATGTTATTAGAGAAATGACTCGGCATCAGGAGAAAATGTGGAGAGACATGAGGATCAAAGAAAATATGCTGGCTCAGAAATCCATAATCAGTTGGTTGCAAAACGGCGATTCGAATACTATGTTTTTTCATGATTCTCTCAAATATAGGAATCATTCGAACCACCTTTCAGCTATCACAGTGGGAGGAAGGACTATTAACGCTCCTGAGGATATTAAGTTCGAAGCTGTTAAGTTCTTTAAGGATAAATTTTTGCAGCATCTGAAGGCTAAAGTCAGTAGTGGTATTATTCTGAACACCTGCCTTGGTGTTGAGGACATTAGCTTCCTTGAAGCAGATTTCTCCCCATCTGATGTGAGAAAGGCTGTTTTTAACTGCGACGGAAACAAGTGCCCTGGCGTCGATGGCTTTAACTTCAGATTTATCAAATCTTGCTGGGATATTATTGGTCAGGATTTCTCAAACTGCATCCTGGAATTCTTCAAGACATGAGTTATGCCCAAGTTGTTTGCGTCTTCATTCATAGCGCTGGTTCCGAAGAATTCTAATCCCCAACAGTTCGAAGACTTCAGACCTATTACTTTGGTTAGCTGTATCACTAAGGTTATATCTAAGATGCTTGCCTTCAGATTGAGCAAGGTTATTCACAAAATTGTTTCTCCATCCCAAACAGCTTTCATCCCGGGTCGGCAAATTTATGACGGGGTTCTGCTAGCTAATGAAGTAGTTGATTACGCAAAGAGGTTTAACAAGGCTTGTCTTCTCCTCAAAGTCGACTTCGCTAAAGCCTATGACTGTGTCGACTGGTTTTACCTCGACGATATGCTAGTCAAGATGGGCTTCGGTGCTAATTGGATGAAATGGATTCGTGGCTCAGTTTTTAACAGTTTATTTCTATTCTTATTAATGGAAGTCCCTCGAAATATTTTTGGATTGGTAAAGGTCTTAAGCAGGGAGATCCGTTGGCGCCATTTCTGTTTGCCATTGTTGCTGAAGGGCTGGCCTGTGTTGTTAGAGAGATGGCAACCGGTAACCTTTTATCAGAATTCAAGATTAACGGTCAGGCCATTGTGAACCTGTTACAGTTTGCAGATGATACCCTGCTTATAGGTGACGCATCGACTTCTAACATTTGGATATTCAAGGCTATTTTGCGTGCTTTTGAACTGAGTTCTGGCTTGAAGATTAACTTCTCTAAAAGCTGCATTTTTGTGATAGGAGTTGAATCTGAATTTCTTTCTGCTGCTGAAGGTTTCCTGCAATGTAAATCTGGTAGGCTTCCTTTCTCTTTCCTTGGCTTCTCAGTTGGAGGAAACCATCGGCGCATCTCTTTCTGGACTCTGACCCTGTCTCGGTTGAGGAGCAAGCTCTCTAACTGGGCTGGGAGAAGTTTGTCGATGGGGGGTAGAGTTACCCTCATTAACTCGGTCCTTGTTAACATGCCTATTCATCCTTTGGCTTTTTTCAAGGCCCCCAAGAAAATTATTAGTGATATTATTGCGATTCAAAGGCATTTTCTTTGGGCTGGGAACTCCAACAAAAAATTCATATCTTGGGTTTTGTGGAATACTATTTGCAAACCTAAGGAGCTCGGAGGCTTAGGTATAAAACATGTTGGCCAATTTAATTGTGCCCTTTTAGCAAAATGGTTGTGGAGATTTCTAAGAGGCGGTAACGAAATTTGGAGAAAGACCCTTAACCTCAGATACGATAACTTGAGTCTAAAGGTGCAAATTTATGTTGATGCTGGAAGCCCGAAAATCGACTCATCCTGGATGAAGGATATTCTATCTATCATCAGATCTAATATGGACTTCAGCAAGTTCACGACTAGCACTATTGGAGACGGTCGTGACACGGCGTTCTGGCAATCTATTTGGATTCGAGATATGCCGCTTAAAAGTAGATTTCATCGTCTGTTTCAGGGTTGTTCCAAGAAATTAGCGAGTGTCAGTCAGATGGGAGCCTGGGAAGACGGTTTATGGGTCTGGAACTTGAGAGATTCGTTGTTAGGTCCGGTCTCCAGTTTTTAACCTGAGTGGACAGAGAGTAGGTTTGCTTTGGATCAGATTACAGTAGACATTAATGTCGATGATAATTGGAAATGGCTTCTCGATGACTCTTTGTCGTACAAGGTTAGTTCTTTCTACACTGCTCTTTCTTCTTCTGTTCCTGAATTCGGTGTTCAAAGAGATAGCGATATATTTCTGGAGGTTCTTTGGAAAACGGTTCTTCCGGTAAAAGTTCAAACTTTTTCTTGGAGGTTGGCTCTTGATAGAATTCCTACTAAACTTAACTTGTTGAAAAGACGGGTGATTGACGACCTCCTTTTTACGGATTGTGCGTTCTGTTCGAATTGCATTGAGGACACTTCTCATCTTTTCTTCACGTGTTCTAAATCCTTGTTGGTCTGGAATAAGATATGCATCTGGGTCGATATAGGGAGTATTTCTGAGGATAATTGTCTCCGTCACGTGAATGCCTGGAAATCTAGTCTCTCGGGTCGGTGCAAAGAGAACAAGATCAACTTTATTTGGTTTATTACTTGCTGGATTTTATGGAGGGCCAGAAATAAAATTATTTTCAATAATGATACTATCGATGTAGACGACATTGTTGTCGATATTAAAGTTTCATCATAGAACTGGTTGATTCTAGGTAGGAAGGATAGTAAGCATTGTAGCTTATACGATTGGTTCAATTTTCCGTTTCACTTTTTGTAACTCCCCTAATCTTGTGGGTTGTTTGTAACTCTGTTGCCTTGAGATTTTCTTAATCTCTTTCTAATGTTATTTGCTTATCAAAAAAAATTGACTTCAAGATCGTTGTTTACAACAGAGCCAACATCATCGACAAGCTTGCACCTATGCAAAAATATTATGATAAATTAGATAGAGTCTGTAAAATTGTATATAAAAAGCTTTAATAAACATAACATACATATGTTAAGATAGAGCTTGTAAAATTGTGTAAAAAAGTCATACAATTAACAACCACTAACATTTGTCATTTCAAAAAGTCATACAACCTTCCTGACACAAAGGTAGATTGAAAAGTAGCACATTCAATGTAATATTATCCTAATATTGTTATGTTGATTGAAAATACAAAATAAAATGTTCATAGCTACAACTAAAACAACCCCTAATATACAATTAACAACCACTAACATTTATTATTTCAACTATCAGTATAGGTGAAACCTAATTTAAAAGACCTTTGCTTCAAAAAAATTTAGCAGTTGTATCCTAACAGACTTTATAAAAAAGATAGAGCTTAAATTTTCACGTGATAAACTATATTTAAATATGAACATTGACCTATAAGTGTCACTTTAATCCTTATGCTTTAACTAGCTCAGGTTCTGATTAGAAGCAGACTTCTCCAAAGTCTAATCTTCAGAGGATGACTCAATCAGACTCTAATATATTTAGATGTTGATCTCTTTGTAAGATGAAATCTTTAAAGTGTGGTCTTCACGCTTCTCTTTAAATGTTCAGAGTCAGAACCAATACTTAGATATTATATGAATTTTAGTTTATGGTCGTGCACACTTGAACAAACATTAGTATATTCAATTGTTTTTTAAATAATTTGTTCTCATCAAAACCTAAGGGATATGAGACAAACCAATTTTGTTCCAACAAAAATTACACGTCAAGATTCTTCGTCGGCCTAAGCTCAAGCTGAGCCTGACCGATCGGAATGTCGTAGATTTGTATCCAAATTTGAGGGCATGTTTTGACATCTCTTCACGGTGGTTTAAGATCGAGGTGAACGATCGATCTTAATTGGACCGGAGTTCGATATATCTAACCTCCGCAGATCTGAGATCTTGACTTTGCGAAATATCAATTTTTTCACATGAGACGCTTTCGAATTTCAGATTTGAGAATCGGACTTGACCTCGTACAAACCGTATAATCGCAAGTCAATTCTCACAAACGGCGTCACTGTTTCATTGTAGAACCAAAAATGGTGCAGATTGTTGAATCTATGGTGGAACGAAGTTCCGTAAGCGATTCGGTGATCCAATTTCTTGGATCGAAGGTTTCGATCATTACACATCTTAAAGTGGAGTCATTGATCTCTAACTGATGGTATACGAAGGATCTAGGGGGTTCTTGCATGGTTATCACTCTAACGTGTTATCTTATGAAAGCTTGTCTTTTCAAAATTCAAGCAATTTAGTGAAACTTTTACCCGCCCACCCATTTTTTGCCTTCAAATTAAACAATCTTAACACAATGGACAATTTGTGAAATTTTTGCACCCCAAAAATAATGGTTCCTTGTTACTATATAAAGTATTATACACTTGGGCTCTCCTAAAAGAATCTTCTCGAATATCACAAATTATATCTTCTAGGTGATCACTCATATCTTCATCAACTTCAACTCTATGTAACACAATTTGTTTTTTTTGTCACTTCACCATGCTAGATCCATGTCGTATAATTTTGATAAATTTCATCACTC